ACCCCATGTGGTAAACAATCCACACATCAGAATAATCCACTGGGAGCAAAATTATCACACCTAACACTTGTTTATGTAACCTTGGCAGAGATAACCACTATTTCTATGGTCTCACTGATGTAATATTAGTTATATATACTCACTTGGTCAGCCGACACTACATAGTGGCCGTTACTTGAGGTGGGGGGGCGACCGCAGGCGCGAGGCACTTGGCCCCATAGGGACGAGAGTCGCGATGCCACGCCTGCTAAAGTAGGCCTATCGACGCACTGACACTTAGCAACTCCAGTCACTGACCATTCAAACACTCACTGAAGATCGCCTGTGAAACGCAATATTTGCGTATAATGCCGTAAGGGATGAGAAGAGGCTGTCGGCGACGATGCTCAAGGTGACATCAACATTCATCAACACACTGAAATTCTCGCTCCCACAAACTGAGTATATCCCCACCAATGACACTTTAAATCAGGGAAGGCACCCCAACACACCCACGCCGCCAGGGCCTACTACTACTACTACTATTACTACAACTATTACTATGCTGTCACGCGGAATCTAGTATGACGATCATTCTGTAACGGATCTTCTTTGTAACAGTTACATAGTAACTGGAGAACAGATATTCAATGACCAACTGTGTAACCATTAGGCGACTGTTACCATTGTATAACAGCTACTTGTGAAGCTGTCATATATGTCTATCTGGGGGAAAATAATACACTTGTAACAGGTCTATAGTTTGTCTTGATAATTTCCCAAAATGTTCTTTCACCACGAGGTATACGCAAACACTAAGCGCCCTGAAGTAGGCCTTTATTCTCGCACGGAGATATGCTACAGAGGAAACAAATAGATAGTGGGCTTCCACACACCAAGGCGACTAGCGGATCTCAACTTCTCTATTTGAATTATGCCAAAAGGTACAGATGCCAAAGCCATAAGCTGAATACATAAAATGTAAATATGGTAATTCATATACATAACATGGTGCATATAAAATGGAAATATTAAGAATGAATTAATACATGTTCTGTAATACTTTACTATACACTAGGAGTAATATATGAATACACAGCTTAGTACTTCGTGTCCACATATTATAATCTCTCCCTATACGCTCATAGTTTCATCTGAGGCGGACCTTTTGTTTCTGGTGCCTGCTCGGATCTGTGGAGTACCGGGTAGAAACACAAGGTGGGATGGATTTATCAAAGATACCAGCATTATTAGGGACTCATCAGAAGGTCAACACTTGCAGCTCCACAGGTCATCGGAGGAAACGACAGTACCTCCACCATACTACCACTAGGAAGACGCACTTGCAGTCCCTGTACCGGGCTACTACCATGACAACCCCCAACCTTGTCCCAGCGGTGTGAGATATCGGATCTTGAATCCTGACCTGCTGGCCGATAATTAACCTGGGAAGGGGCAGAGCAGATAATGCAATGAGCAGCGACATCTAAGTGCTCAAGTCTGGTTAAAAATGTAGGCGGCCTATTCTCAGTCTTGGCTTGTGCCATTCTTGGAGAGAAAAAAAAAAGACTTCCTGTGGCAGGAACACAAGACCTGAGATGATGTCCATATAGGGGTTGGGGGAGCGCCCGGGTGTTGGGTGTAACTCTAACAAACTCGATCAAGTCCTCACAGTCGATATTTCCTGAGGGTGACACCTTAAGGATCAGGTGTTTAACAGTCTTGACTGCGGCTTCAGCTTCAGCGGTCCATATTCTCCTGGGGTAGTGGGGGCGCGGTCACGACATGACGGACTTCAACGGTCCATGAAGTCCCCAGAACCGGTGGCTGGTGAACTGAGGTCCTCCCATCAGTCCCGAGGTGGAGGGGAACACCAACTTCTCTGAAGTATCGTCTGAAATTCCGGATGGTAAAGCAGCAGCCGTTGTATCACCACCACAGGGACGACAACAGGCCATCCAGACAATCGGTCGGCAATGAGGTGAAGGACTTCCCCTGCCATCAAAGAAGTCGGCCGACACAGACCTCGAAGGGCCTTTGAAGCGGTTATCGTCACAATAAAAGCGTTCCTGTTGCTGGCCAGCCAGAACGGCACGGCTCACGGTAATGACGGTACTTCTGGCAATCCGCGCGATTCCCAAATACCAGAATATTGCTTTGTCTGTCAAGCAGGCTGGCCTCCACTCGATGGCTGTCGAAGGCGGGTCAAGGTACGGCAGGTAAAAGTAGCAGTAATGAGCCTTCAGGACCATACAGATGAGGCCCCTGGCTAATAAAGGTCCCTTATCTTCCAGCACGGGAGAAGTACCCATGGAAGGTCAGACGGGCGACAGAAATCCCTGGGGATACAGTCGATGAGGCGATGTAGGGTGGTTTGGCGAAGGCGGTACAGGAGATCTTCAAGGGTCTTGTCTGCATCCGGTGCCGAGACTTTTCTGATGTGAAGCGACGCCTCAATTGATTACTGACTTGAGGGATGCACAGAACACAGCATCTCAACTCTTCTGGGTGGGGGCGACTG